TCAGAAACGTACAAAGTACACTTTGCAAGCTCCTACTCGGCAGCCTACATCTCAGCACAAGTTTAACCCAAGCTGTTGTTGCAAACTATGGTTAGTTAACTTTTCTGGCACCCAGCCACGACGGTCCAAGGACGAAAGGTTGAGGATGCTCTTTGGCATCATTGCCACGCACTGGGCTCCTAGAGCTCGGGGAAGCCTCTCGAACCTTGGTGAAGAGGAAGGAGAGCAAGAAGAAGAAGAGGAAGGTGAACAAGAGACAGAAGCCCCAGCCCCCGCCACACCATCCCCAGAGCCCGTCAAAGATGACGAGTACCTGGCATGGACGCTGGGTGGTTCGTTGGCCCCCACACAAGAGCTTGCTTGGGACTCCCCAAGCCCAGCCATGCCACAGGCAAGCCAAAGAGCCAACGCAAGCACCGATGATGATCTTGATCTGCAGCTTCAGCAGGTCGAGCAGCTTGCGCACAAAAGCTGATACATTGACTCGTTTCAAGTTGCAGCCCACATTTTCCCTCGCCTTTGCTTTGCGCCCAGGCAACGATTGCTGGAGCGACGGGTTGCCTTGGCTGGGAAGCTAACTGCTGCCTCATGGTCTGCAGGCGGGGGTCGCACACGGGTCTGACGTCACAGGGGCTTGTTGGGGCCCAGGTGTGGACGTGTCTACTGCTGACACTTTGCCACTGGAATGCGGCACCCAGCTTGCCGACTTCATCGCGGAAGGCCCTGTTGATTTCATGCTCCAAGCTCTTCTAGCTAGGGATAAATTGCCGAGCTACTCAGCGCTTGCCCAGGCGAGATGAGCCTGGACAACAAGGAGCAAACGTGGGAGAGCCCAGCCATGACGGGCGCTGTGGTAGGGGGTAACTCCTCCGAAGCCACACCTGCCATCTCCAGCCCCGCTGCAAGTGGCCCAGGAGTCACTTCCAGCGATGCCTTGGCAGCCAGTGGGTTACCCAAGGACAACAGCGCTCCAAGCCAGCCACCTATGGTGCCGGATGCCCCTTCCGCAGCTGGTCTGGTGATGGAGGACGGCAGCGCCACCAACGTGGCGATCCCCACCAATCCCAAGCTGGAGGACAAATGTGGCGATGAGATGGCGCCCGGCGCATCTGCTGGCAAGGCTCTGGTGCCGGAGCACCCACCCATGCTTCCGCCCCTGGCTGACGCACCTAGCCCGACCAGCTGTGCCATCATGTCCTCAGAGGCCTGCTGGTTTTCGTGTTAACCATGTTCCTAGATTTGCGAAGTCAGCCCCTTGCAGGACACCGTGATGCGAGCTCAGCAGCTTGTCCTCAGGCAGTCCTTCCGCCGCCAGCGCGGCAAGAAGGAGGCTGGGGACGAAGCTGATGAGGAAGGAGATGAGGAATGGTCAGAGCCTGACCCTGAGGCAGGCAAGAAAAGCAAACAAGCCAAGGGCAAGGCAGCCGCAAAAGCAAAGGCGCGTGCAAAAGCGAAGGCCAAAGCAAAGGCCAAGGCAAAAGCAAAGGCCAAAGCGTCGCCAAAGAAGAGGGCTTCGCGCAAACACAACAGTGACAAGTCCACAGCGCCAACAGCCAGCCAGGCGAAAACTGCAGGGACCGCAAAGACAACCGAAGAACCTCAGGAGGAGAACCAGGTCACCCCGCCCACAAAGAGGACAAGCAAGCTCAAGGCCCAGACCAAAGAAGCTCAGAAAGAGAACCAGGCCAGCTCAACTGTGAAGAAGACAAGGAAGCCCAAGGCCAAAACAACGGAACCGGAAGAGAAAAGCGTCCAAGATCAGGAGCACGTCACTCCGCCACAAGCAAAAACTCGTCGTGTCGCCAGTGCCCCTGACTCGGCTGCCTCCGCCCCTTCCGACCCTATGAGAAGGACTTTTGCACGGCGATACCAGCCAAAAGGGGAGGAGAGCTCTAAATGGTGGCTTTCGTTGGCCAGCGCTTTCGATGCCATTATCAAGGGCAGGGTGCACAGCCCATCATTGTTGGAGGACCACATTTTTTGTTCCATTTGTGACCATTCCCAACCATAAAAAGTTGGGCCCTGCTAGGACAACTTCTGGCGGTATTCGATGGGCCGCTGGGCCAGCGTGGGTGCGCAGGGTGACCTTGCAACACTGGTGAAGTCATGGGCTTTGGAGTTCTTGGATCTTGAAGCCGTTCGCAGCACCTCTGACAAAAAAGTGAACTGAAAGGGATTGAATTGAAAACCAGGAAAGGGTCCCTCACCGGCCCCACGCCCGCTCCCAGGCAAGCTCCGCGCCTGACATCGATCTCTGATCTCTTCACCGAGGCTGCTTCCAAGGTAAGAACCTGGCGCCGTGCCAGGGTGACAGGGGTGTGGTTCAATGAACCCAGCATTCAGCCAAGCATGGCTTTGACTAATCTACAGTACTCAATCGAACCTGAGCGCACATTGCTTGGGAGAGTGTAGTACCTCGACGCTGATTCAAGGGGCGCGTCGGAGAAACAAAGGTCGTTGAGAGTGAGTTGTGTCTGACCATTTCACATGTCAGGCATGCTTGCAACACTTCCTGAGCACTCGCATGCACACACAAACACGCAACACAAGAAGGCTAAGTACTACAACAACCACTGTCACGCACGCGAATACGCAAACACAATAAAACGTGACGGAGCGCAACACGCGCAGTACACAAAATGCAGAACAGAGCCATGCATGCACAAACACACGAACTCTGGCGCAACACCGTGCACAGACGCACGCACCGGCAAACACACAAGCGCCCTCAAAGGCACAAGCGTGCAATTTCACAGACACACACACACACACTCACTCAATCACACCTGCGCCCACACGCACGAACGCACAAAGTGTTCAAACATGCGTTGGACTTTTCACTGAACTGGTTGGGTGGTCGGCCACGCAAGGTGCCTCGCCATGCCCCGCATCTTGAACGCCTTTGTCTGCCACGGGTCTGACCCGGGCCATGCCGACTTGTTTGCGATTGGCAATGCATTCATGATGCCTTCTGATGAACAGCAAAAGTGATTGCGCTGAAAGCCGAATTTCTCAAGGAAACGTTTGCTGTTGCCAGTTTGCGCGTGCCATGACGCCAGCCCAGATCGAGCTGACAATAAAACAACTTCTGAGAATGGGTGCGCCCAAGGTGCCTTTACACTGTCCAGTCAGTTGCTGTTCCGAGCAATGGTGATGCCAACTGCCCACCGGTCACCGTCAGGCCTTCGCAATGTTGGTCTTGCTGGCGGCCTCGCTGGCAATTCCGGGTGGAGAGTCAGACTGCTCCAATTTGGAAATTCTGGAACTCTTTGCCGGAACAGCCAGGCTTTCCAGATTGGCCCGTTCGCTTGGTATACCAGCTGAAGCTCATGACATTTTGTTTGACCCTCACAGATCCAAGAAAGGCAAGAGTGCAATGGACATCAATGAGCCGGCCGGTTTCTTGTTTCCTGGCAAGACCCCGCAAAACACACACCAACACATGTGTTCATTTTGGAGCGGGTGCAGTTTAGCCCCCGTTTTGGCGTGTCCATTTTGGAGCCTCCGTTTTCGCGTGTCCATTTTGGAGCCCCCTTTTTGGTTCCATTAATCTGGAGCCCCCGTTCTGGAGTCACAAAAAGCAAAAAACTGAGGCTCGCTATCTTGGCATGCTTGAGGGGGCGCTTCGATAAGCTCCTCTGCCTGATGGGGATACCATGTTCAACGTGGGTATCAGTCAATGCTGGGACTTCTTGTCGGGATATCCTCAATGCGATGGGGTGCCCTGGGGTGGTGTCAGTGGACAAAGCCAACGTGCAAGTGGCAAGGCCAGAAAACCTCCCTCTTGAGTTCCCTGTCGTCCTTGCAAAGACAAGCAATTTGTTCCTGGCTGGTAGGTGCGCGCTGTTCACACTCCTCCTGATCTGCTGTGGGGCGGTGCCGCTGGTGGAAAATCCGGGGAGTTCCTTGCTTATGAGGCACGACCGGATGATCTGGTTGATTCGTATCTTGAGGAGACACTCGATTTCGGCGCCTCTCCTGCACAAAATAGGTTTTGGGGCAATTTCTTGGCCACGCATGAAGTGTACTTCTTGCGAGTTGTTGCTCATCCTAGATGTGGAGACAACCTTTCTGGATGAAGCTTTACAACCATCCAAATTACAAGCGCACACGGTTATGGTCAACGGCACGATCCGTTTGGAAGATAAACATTGGCAAGCTCAATCACAAGAAAGACCGCAACCTGGTTCCTACGTGCCGGCGGTATCTTAATGCCAAAGGAGAGGCCAGGTTTACGGCGACACGCCACTTGAAGAAAACACAGTGCCCTGGTTTGAAATATATCACCCGTCCGGCCCTTTTCCGTGCCTCACTTGCCCAGCACCAAGGGAGTATCCACCGCCGTTTTGTGCGAAGATCCTGGCCATGAGGAAATCATTGCTGGCTTCAAAACCATCTCTGCCAACTGAGTCCTGGCTAAAGGCTAGTTTCTGCACTACTGAGATCGATCTTCAAGCATCGAGCGTTGCGACTTTTGAGGTGGACCCGCAAATCCTCTTGGTGGACATGCTCCGCCATGCAGACGACTCTGACCGATGGGAAGATGCCCAGTTAGGGGCATGTTTGGAGTATGCTTGGTCTTCCAAGTTTTTGCAAGTCCCTGAAGAGTTCCAAGAAGTGGCATACAGCTACATGAAGGCCTTCCATTAGTTTGGTACGGCTGCACATGATTAATTCAGGAAATTCGCAAAAAAACCGTTGCAAATTACGGCGGAAACACGCGGGATTACGGCGGAAACACGCGGGATTACGGCGGAAACAGGCGTCCATGGATTTTCGGTGGTGTTGTGTGGCTGTCTGTTGGGCTGTTTTAGACTCATGCGACTTCCACAGCATTTTAGCTGATCAAGGTATGTCTTCTGCAACCCTGGTTAGGGGAGTTGAACTGGCCCGCGCGGCCACCATGTCCTTGGAAAGCGACCCGCAGTATCAAGAAATGCTAGCTGAGAAGAAGAAGCTGCTGGTTACTTGACATATTTCGCGTGACCAGTTTCTCACGCATGTCCCCCGTGTCAGTGCCCCCTTTGATCAAGGCTCTGCGAGACAAGCGCGAACGGAGCAAGAAGTTGGACGAACAGAACCAGAAGTTGGACCCAAAGATCGTGAGCGAACACGAACAGGACAAGAAGTCGGACCCAGAGATCGTGAGCGAACATGAAAGGAACAAGAAGTTGGACCCAGAGATCGTGCCCGAGAGTGGGGAAAGGGCATCCTCTCCAGTTGCAAATGCCATCACGATTCGGGAGCCGGACACGTATGAAACGGGCTCGCAGCTCCCCTCTCCATTGGAATCTTGGGTGTTTCGTTAGCCTTGACAATCGGGTCAGTTTCAAGTTCCAGTACGGAGAACAGGGCTTCCCTTGGCCAATCACCCCCGACGCTTAGGAGATCGATGAGACGCAGCCTGCAGCCCTTGATGCCTTCCCAGCTACGCAGGCTGAGGCCGGCGGAACGCAAGTGCGCCAAAACTTGGCGGATCGGCTTGGTCTTGCTGCTGAAGATGTGGAGGAAGGGCCACCTTTGGAAAGCGGCGCCGATCAGGGCGAAGCGACTGAGGGGGAGGACTTGTTCCAAGTGCCAACTGAGAACCCACCCCCCCAGCTCTCTGAGGGAGCCATTAAGAAGAGGCTCTACAGGTTGCTGACGCCAAAAGCTTCGGGCGCCTTGAAGGTGCCGAAGGAGTTGATAAACGATTACAACGACCCTTTTACCAAGGACAAGGTGTTCCTGCTCTTCGAAAAAGCCGGCTATGACAGAGACGGGTTTGGGAGCAACCGTGCAAACTTGTGAAGTTAGAGCCTTTTTCAACTAGCACCTTCTCGTGCTTTGAACTACGACAAACTCCTCAAAACAACCCCATCCAAGTTCGAGCTCAATTCTGGGGTTTGACATGTTGCGCCCTTACCACCTATCGCCTTGTGTTGCCCAAAGTTGCAATCGCAATGCCACATGATTTTTAGCTGAGGTCTGGCCAAAAGAAGGGGGACCCTCTTCAAGTAAAAGCTGTCCGGATACTTGAATAGTCCGTTTGACAAGTGGCCTAGCACACGGGGAAAGAATTACTGTTATGGGAATGTTTGAGCAAAGGGCCCATTAAGGTCTTTGCAAAACCAAGCTGCCAAATCATTTGCGCAAATAACTAGTTGATGGGGTGGCCTGAGGGGCCTCCTTGCGTGCAAAAAACAGCTGCTTCAGGCCACCCCTTTTGATCATCAAGTTTTGAAAGGGGCGTGTGTCCACTCCATGGGACAGTTCAGGCCACTTGTTAGAGCGGCCATTCAAGCAAGCGACGCTTTAGGGGAAAGCTATCCAAATCAAAGTGTTGGACCGCTTGCCAGAAAGGCCGTTTTAACAAGTGACCCCAAGAAACTTTTTAGCTTTGTTTAAAGCAGCCTCAGGTCACTTGTTGTTTTTTTTAACGAGTGTGGGCTCATAGCTAAATCCACCAGTTCATACAACTTGTGAGAACAGGAATTCCAGGAAGCGGGATGTCCCGAAGTAAAACATTTTTCAATCGACAACTTCCAGGCTACTTGCTCGAATTGCAATTTGGGTGGCCCGTTTGCTGGGGAGGCCTTTCCAAAACAAAGCTGCCAAACCATTTGTTCCAATGACAGTTTTACAAGGTAAGGGCCTGCTTCAGTGAAAAAGACAGATGCTTTGGGCCACCTTAGATCATCAAGTTTGAAGTGTGTGGGGGGGAATGAGTCTGTGTGATCTGGCATCCCCTCAACCGCAAGTGAAACAACCCGACCCCTCTATTACCCAGCAAAGGTTCAGCACCGTTGAAGGCCGTGCTCGAGAAAATCCTTTTTTGGGGAGGCAAGCGTGTAAACTGAAGGGCCCCGCTGAATCTTTTACAATTGGCTGGGTGTGTTGGAAGGTGTTCCCCGCAAACAAATTCCACTAGAAACGGCTTGTGGGTTTCTTCCTTGGACATACTGTCCGGCGCAAGACTTGTTTAAAGCGCAAGCTCCAACATGTTGTTTGAGGCGTCGGTCCTTGCTCGTAAAAGAAGGACCGAGCATGTGTTTCCCAAGGGTCCAGTTGTTACGAAGACAAATCTAACAGTGGTCTGCCGTGAAAGTTGCTCCCCAAAAACACTTGCTTGAGTTGCAGTTCTAGAAAGGTCACTTGAAACTACGAGCACCCCACTTCCTGGAACGCGTGTTATCACAGGTGGCCGGAACGGTCCTTTATGAAGTCGGTACGAGTGGTCTGGAAGCTTGCTCTTTTGTGAGATCTGTTTCCCGCAAACCAGCCACACCGGCTCTTTTTTTTTAAACGGCCATTCTGGCAAGCGATCTTGGATAGCTATTACCCCGAACACGGGCGTGAAACGCGCCCCCCGAAAACCTCCAAAGCAATTGTCTAAGAGGGAGGGGTAGAAGGGCGGGGGGGGTGAAACCCTGTACAAGAAGTTGGGCAACCAATTCTTAAACTGTGGTGGGCTGCTGATGTGGGGGGAGGGGGGAGGGAGGGGAGGACAGCGGGTACCCGTTCAGAAGTTCTTCCAACAAGTGGCCTGACAGCTTGCTTTTGCAAAGGGTCCCCCAAAAGGAAGTTGCTATTAATGTTTGTTTTACAAACGTGTTGCTTGCGAAATCTTGCGAACAATCGCACTTCCTGAAGTACCGGTTCTTGAAGTCGTGTTTTTTGGTATGTCGGATTCCTTGTGAACATAAGACCCCTGAGGAGGTCTTTCTCCGGAAGGTTCGGAAGGTGTACGAACAAATCAATGAAGACACAATGGAGTCCAACTATGAGTTCCTGAGCGAAGACGACATGGTTGCCTTGGGTTGGTCCGAGCTGCTTGTTCTTAACATTTGGAAACACAAGCTCAAATTTGCTTGTCTTCGACAATGAGAGCGTGCGCCTCCCAGGAAGAAGATAAAGGGCATCAAGAAGTTCTGCAAGAGCAAGCGGGACTTCACAAGGCGTGTTCAACACATCAAGGCTCTCATGACAGTAAGCACTGCCTCGCAGGCAGTCAGATTACGGGGAGGGGACCTTGTACTGGGCGCTGATCAGCCAGAAAGGATCGAAGAAGTGTCTCAGCCAATTAGAGTGTCCGCTAGTTGCCTCAAACTGCTTGACAAACAATTTGGGCAGCTCTAGGAAGATTCGCCGCAGCATTCTCCAAGAGATTGAAGAGGAAGAGCTCAAGGAACCGTCCAAAAAAAAGGTCCACGCGAAGGTGAAGGGCATTGATACCTCCTTTGTGCCAGAGGACTCAAGTGATGATGATTGCGCCTTTCCAAAAGGGGAACATCTTAAATTGCACAGGCTACCTTGTGACATAGTCCTCTAGTAAGTTTGGATGACGTCGTTTCATCTTGTGTGTTGCCAAGGCCAACCCGACGCGCACCAATCCCAAGCAGAAGAAGAAGAGGAATCTGATGAGATCTCCAGTGACAATGGGGAACACACCACTGAAGTGCTGAAGAAGTTGAACTTCCCGGAAACAGAGAAAGAACCCCAGCCCGCTGCAGTAGTCTCCAAAGTGGCCGTGGCAATTCAAAAAAGGGTCAAGAAGCTTTCTGAGGGGATCACAAAGCTGGAAGGGCTATCCTCACGGGACGATGTTCAAGCCAAGTAGCTCGATGCAAGAGTTCACTCACTTGTCACCCTTGGCGTTGCTTTTGGTTTCGGCCAAAAGGGGCACCCACCCAATCCCTGTCTGACCCGAGGCTTTTGACCGACATGAAGGACTTACAGAAAGCGCTGAGCAAGCGTGATGACGACATGCAACAGGTGTACCGACAAGGTCTCCTTTCCGGATTCGACAAAGTGATTCTCGGAACCCAACTGACAAACATTTTGGGACCTTGGTTTCAAAAAGACTTGAGCTGTTTGACTTGATTTTGCTTGGCTCTTGGTGCCTTGGACTTGCATGCCCCTCCCCCTGACTGCCACACCCGGCTAGGGGTCCGCATTGCTAGGGCTACCCTCCAAAGAAGTAGCTAAAGCCATTAGGTTGCGTTGCGCCAACACGTGCCACCTAAGGAAGCAAAAGGCACTACGGGTCCACTTTGATGAAGCCAAGAAACTGTTAGGGCCCCGGACTGCGGTCGCAGCCACTGTCTCCTGGCAATGAGCCGTGTTCTTGTGTTGGCTTTGCTCAGGGCCATTGACACCTGCTGCCTTGATGCTCGCGTCAAGTCGCAGTCTGAGGGCAAGGGTGACACAGTCTCTCACACCATCGCCTGATTCTGCATTTGTTTGTTGAGGCTGATGAATTTTGGCAAGAAGGCGGTCACGCCCAAGGCCAAATCAGCGGTCCCGAAGAGCGCAAAAACCGCTGCCAAACATGCCCCCAAGCCTGCAGCGGCAAAGCCGAAGCCGAAGCCGAAGGCTGAGCCTGCCGCCAAGAAGCGCCCAGCTACTCCCCCTGTCACCCCAAGCCCTGCCCAGAAGCGTAGGGTGTGATGTCCAAGATCTATGTGGCAGTTTAAACATGCAGGCAGGGGCTTAGAACCTGCCCGCTGCCTGCGGAATTTTGTGCCATGCGAGGAAGCGACGCTGTTCTCTTCAAAAATGACCCACTATTGATTTTGTTTTTTGTTCAGAAGAGTTGTTGTTTCTCGGAGCGCTCGTTGTGGCAAGGGGATCCCGGCAGTGGCTTCCACTGCTCATCAACCGTTCTGAGTGACCCAGGCATAGAAGCGAAAAGAGTGACTTGAGTGCATCCGTTTCTTGAACGTCCTTACTAGGCCTTTCTTCTAACGCGGGCTCAGTTGCTCCAATCGGCCAGGTCCTACTGACGATGCGCTGGACTGTCACCTAGCAGAGGTTTTTGGTGATGGGGCTGCGGCCTCAAGAACAGCACAGCTTCGCAACACTGCTCCAGTGTTCGATCTTGCTTTCTGGCTGAGGCTACGGCGGCTGACACGCAGCGGGCAGTGAGAGCTTCAGCTTCAAGTTCTTTTCCAAACAAGCTTCGTGGCATTGATACGGCGCACGGTCACCAGCAAGCGTCCCAAAATGCAGACAGAAACATGCATAGGCGGTTTGCACGCATGGGCTTCTCTCTGCCCGTGCCCGTGCAAAAGATCACACATGCCCAAGATGACAATGGTGTTTCTGTTGAAACACATTGGATCCGCCCAAGCGATTGGATTCAGGTGTTGATGCGTATGTTCCCCAAATGCCTCGTTGGTTCTTGCTCTGACATTGGGCAGCAACTGGAGTCATTCTGGTCTATGTATCAGCACCACCATCCTGAACATGAGCTGTTCCGGCAGAAGCCTGCGTGTCAGTGGAAATGCACTTTGCCAATTGCTGTGTTTGGAGATGAGGGCAGAGGCCCCAAGCGAGGCAACTACCTTCTCTGGACCATGGAAAGTGTGCTCGGGCTTGATAATCTGGACGAGGAGTTCCAATGCAATTGCGCTGGCGCTTTACCTACGCTTCCAGTCACTGATGTTGCTTCATGCACGAACACGCTGGAATGTTCGGGCGCTACATTGCAACTTGCTGACAAGCAAATGACGAATTACAAAGGGCACTCTTATTGCACCCGCCATGTCCTGTTTGGGATCCCGCACTGGCTCTACAAGAAGAACAAACAAGTTGTTGACACACTTGTGACTGCTTTGTCCCAGGACCTCGAGCGCCTTTTCCAACATGGAGTTCGGCTAGGAGATCAAACATTTTTCGCAGCATTGGTTGGGTCAAAGGGGGACTTGAAGCACCACGTGGAATGCGGAAACCTCAGTCGGTCTTACCATACAGTTGGAAAGGGCAATCAGCAAGCAATGTGCAGTTTATGCATGGCCGGCGAATACCACCCCTTTGAGACCACTGACTTCAACCCAGCCTGGGCCGCAACGATGTACATGAGCAGGCCATGGATTTGGCCCCCACCGCTGACGTCGTCGGTCTCATACGACGCCTCCAAGCCAGAGGCTCTGTACAAACTGGACTTGTTTCACCTTTTTAAGGTTGGAATGGGTCGAGACCTTGCAGGGTCCGGGGTTGTCGTTTTGGCACGGATGGGATTCTGGGATGAACCCCGTCAGACAATCAAGATTGGTGAGCGACTTCAGCGCGCCCATGCTCATTTCGTTTTGTGGACAAAGGCTGAGGGTGTTACACCGGGGCTCACATCATTCTCCACTGCCTATTTCAACGCGAAAACCAAAGCGTCTTCACCGTGGTCCAACTCAAAGGGGTCTGACACCATGATTCTCTTGAAGTACCTGGATTGGTTTTGCGGCCTTCACCTTCGGATGCCAGTGATTCCGGCAGCGACAAACAACAAGTCGTTCTTGCAAATTTTGCGCAGCACCATTCAAGCTGGACTTCGTGTTTTCCAGCTGTGCCACAGCCACGCACTCTGGATTGATCGCACTTGCGGGAAAGTGCTCTACGCTGACATGATGCTGCTGCTCAAGGGCTACATGGCCTTGGCTTCGCACAGCTTGCAAGTTGGCTACTGTGCCTTCGGGCTGAAGCCCAAGTTTCATGCTATTCATCATCTGGCATTTTCCCTTCGGTGTGATATCCAAAAGGGCGCCCCTCGACTTATGAACCCTATTTGTTGGGGGTGCGAGCAGAACGAGGACACTGTGGGCCGCCTATCTCGCTTGTCTCGCCGCTTGTCGACGCGCACGTTGACTTACAAAGTGCTTTCTCGCCATTTTCTCAAGAAAAGGTTCATGCTAACACGGCACTGTCGGGCCAGAGCGTAACTTAACTAACAATACAGGAATTGGAGCAGCCTTGGACCATTTTTGTTCTTGTTACCAACCCGCTCTCCAGCCCAGCCCGGCGAGGCCTTAGAATCTGGTCAGCCATGTAACGCTGCGCGTTGAAAATGGCTGCAGGAGTGATGATTGTCAAGGCAACAGGGGCACGTGATGATTGCACATGCAGTTGGTCCTGATCACATAGTGAGATAAGCCCTGAATGCTTCATCATGTTTGTTGAGGGCATGTCCAGTTCTGTGAGCCAAATGCATTCCGGCTGTTTTTTTTCACTGACGGCGTTTTTCACAAGCGACGGCTGTTTTATTGAAATCCGGCGAAAATAATAGCCAGATTTGAAACGGCCATTTTTTTGGCCAAGCGGAGGTTCCAGGTATATGTATATGTATACACATTTATTTATATATATAATATACACGCATGCCCCCGCGCCAAATGTGACGCCCCGATTCGTCTCCTCCTGGTCGCTCGCCATGCTGCGAGCCCGCGCGCCCTTGAGCCCACACAACGCGGCGAAATGAGTGCGGCGCGGCTTACCCAAAACTTGGCCATGCCTGCTCTGCCTATACGATCTTGAAACAAAAAATCGACATCGGCTGGCGCAGCATAAGCTGCGAAAGGTATATAAACTCCGCAAATCGGCCAAAAGCCAGATATGATAGCGCAACTCTTTTTGTCGAAGGATGGTGCGTGCCGGCGCGTGGGTCCAAAAATTTCGCGAACGCATCATGGCTGGAAGCCATGCTGAACAGCTGACGACTTGCTACGAAAGCGCTCTCCGGCGGGACTAATGTACTCGTGATATGAAGCCCCTTGCTGCAAGCCAGCGGCACGGACGTAGGTGCAGATGCTCCAGCCACCTGCCGCAGCTTGAGTGTTGGCCAAACCTGTGCCCTGGCTTGCTCTGCTGGCGCTCGGACGCTTCATCTTTCGGTTGCCCTGCTTGTGTGCAGCCGGGCGCTTCATGATGGGCGCTTCCGAGGAAGAAACATACCTCTGCTTGTGGGCGGAAGCAGCCGGACGCTTCTGGGGCGTCGACATGCTGCTGTCTGCCGCTGGCCGCTTGAGCACCTTTGGCGCTCCTGCCGTGGTCGCGGGGGGACCTGGCCATGGCATAGCCAGTTCGCTGCGGCGATTTTGGAGCTCGTCCGCAACTTCCTGCAGCTTCCCCTCCGCAGATTGTTGGAGCGGAACAGCCTCCGACTTGGCGGGGTCTGTCCCAGAGGCATCGCCGGCCTTTGGAAAAACAATTTCCAAAGCCTGCTCCTTGTCGGCAAAGCCAAGGCTGTCGCTGCTCGGATTTCTGCTGGGTGCATCTTTGATGGCCTTCATTTCCGGCACAGAGGGGCCAGAAGCCGGCATGGGCAAAAAGTCAATGCGTGGACTGCGTGGATCCTGTTGGCCTCTGAGGGCGTGATCAGCCAACAGCTGCAACAGCGCGGCGGGCGCGCCGCCCGCATTTCCGGCGCTCCCTTGCGAGACCGACGCATGGGTCTGCCTCAAAGGCACCTTTGCAGCCAGCGCTCGAATGCCCATGTCGGACAAAGGCATGTTCTCCGTCAAAACCGGAGGACTTTGGCCGAGCCTCTCTCTGAGCGCAGAAGGCAGATCCGCCACTGAGGGCGGCAGGACCTGAAGGAGGTCCCCGTGGCCCATGGTGCCCTGCTTAGAAAAGCGCTTCGTGCACGACTTCCATGCGGTTCGCACCACCTGCAAAACTGAGTGCAACTGAAACTGGGAGTGAGTTCCCCCCTCCATGAGGCATATGACCGCAGTCATAGTCGCCAGCGTTTGCTCCGATGGAAGTTCCAGCTGCAAAGAATAGTGCAAGCACTCAGACAGCGCCTCGGCCCTGTCCCGTGCGGTGCGGCTGTTCTGGAGAAGCTGCCACTGCTGCTTGCTCAGAAAGTGCGGGAAGCGAAGATAGTCTTGGTTTGGTCGGCGGCTAGCACGGCCAGCTTTCGAGTCGTCTGCGTCCGCGTGCGCCCGGGTCAGCGCTGACGCGATCTCCCGTCGCTCGGACTCAGTGAATGGCGAGTTGGCACCTGAGAGTATAGCACGCAGCTGATCCTCCTCGCCCTGTGTGACAGGGGTGGCTTGGAGCTCGGACAAAAGACTGGAGACGAGCTGCTTCCTGTCAGCGCCACTGCTGTCTGCAGATCTCTGCAGGAGCTGAGCCATGGAAGCCACCAGTGTCTCGGCCATGGGCGCTTATAAGGCTGTGACGGCGCTATATATATGGAGCCAGCTTGGCTGCGAGAACCTTCCGCGCCTGATTTCACATGACAAAGCGAGTGTTCGCAAGCGGGTCTTTTTTTTGACACATACAACACACCGCGCGCTGCAGCGCAAACCTGGAAAAAAACAAATTCGTAAGTTCTCTGTAAGTTGCTTGTATGTTCCCCCTAAGTTATTTGTATCTCTCCTGGACCTAACTCCATATATTCCATAACTTGACCATATCTAACTTATAAATGCACCCAACAACATATGGGGAACTTACGAACTTAGAGAACATATAACCTAAGTTAGACAGCTTATAAGTTATGTTACAAGTTAACATATAAGTTCCGTATCTTAGTCCGGACCTCATGGTAGGCGTTACCCCTGGTGGGCAATCATCTGACGCAGGTCAGCATGCGGAAGGTCAGACCGCTGCCCCGAAAGCACCTCCTAAGGCGTTAGTCACAAAGGAGATGCTGGCATCGGTGAGACCGAAATCTCCGCCGAACCCACCTCGGAGTCCGAGGGTTTCTTCACCTCAGGTCACGGCGACCGAAGTTGGGAATCGATGGTCATCGAATCTTCGAACGCCTAGAGCGACGATTGAGGAGGAGAACACGGGTGGCTCCGCCGAGGTCGATGATCTCCTACCCGATAGGGAAGGGGTCGATCTCCCTACGGATACCTTCAACGATGGTGGGGATCCGACCGAGGCCGAGGTGTTAGAGTCCACCGGAGACGTTGAGATGGAGCCGGAGAAGGAAGCCGAGGTTCCCGCTGTAGGTGAGGAGGAGACTCCCGGTAGGGAAGCCGAGGTGCCTCAGGCCACTACGACTACGACAGAGCCGTCGGTGGAATCGCCTGCGGCAAAGCGAGCGGCGTCGCCCGTTAGGGAGGAACGCAGGGCTCGAGAACCTGTTGGTGCTCAGAAGAAGGAGGAGGCGTCGGGTGCATGTGGCCCGGGTGTGCCAATCTCCTATGCTCCGAAGTACACGGACGACGACGGGGACCTGCGGGATACTGCAGCGACCCCGAAGGCGGTTTCAACCCAGGAGTCTCGAGGGGGCATACACAATTATGCGAACACGCCGTACCCGGAGCATCCGGGAGAGGCGCCCGAGCTGAAGTCAGCGGAAGTTCGGCATCACCGTGAGCATAGTTCCTATCAATCCACGAGGGGCTCGCGGACATCGGCAAGACCGGCGGAGAGCAGGTCGAATAGGAGGTTCATCGTTCAGCATATCCTGGCTAGGGAGGCTGGTGAGCCCTTCATCTATGCCGTGATCAGGAACAAGGCAATCACTCAAGAGCGGGTTACCGCGGAGGAGTGGAGGAAGGCGAACGAGACTAGCCACATTGTGTTCCCGAATCGCGATAGCGAGTGGAATGCGGTATTGGAGAGGGCCGTACATAACGATTACATGTACGGGGCGTTGGATGCTTCCCGAGCTGCTGGGAGGATCGATCAGGAGTACATCAATCCTCGAGATCGGAAGTCTACGCCGTGGGGTGATCAGCAATGGAACATGAAGAAGGTGGCGTCCGAGGCTGCCCATATCCCGTTAGGGATGAGGCAGGACATTCAGGCGAAGTACCATCATGGGCGAGCACCTCCGGGGGACTGGGCAGATATGCCCGATCGGGATGATTACATGGTTCGTGGTGTCGTTAGTGACCCGAACCGCAGGGCGTATGATTGTCTTCGAGCGCCGGGAGTGAGGGCTACCTTGCTGAACGCGCAGACAGGACAATGCATTCCTTTGGACGACCCGACTTGGGTGCCGGAGATTGCATCATCGCACTTGCTGGTAGGGACGATCACTACGATCGCATCGCACGTAGATTGCGCTCTTGGGCGCGCGTGGCGGATGCCCATGTTCCATCCCCAGCTGATGGCGGCGACGGCGATGCTGGAGAAGCTGCAGAAGTACTTCAACGCGCTGAACGAGGCGGTGTTGGGCAAGCGGTTGGGAACTGCGCCTTTCAGCATGATTGCCGGTCACATCGCTCCGGAGCTGCGGACTATCCCGACAAGGGAGCAGATGTCCGATACGCTGGCGCAATCAGCGGCTGAGATCATGCTGTCCCACGTATCAGCGTTGTCCCATTCGGGGTCTACTTCCGATAGGAAGGAGATCATCGGAAGGGATGGGCTCCCGTTCGGGAAATCATGGTTCGAGGATGACCCTGAAGGAGCCACTTGGCCTGGACACCATATGGCTGGAGGTGTCGCTGTCCCACTGAAGCCGAAGACGAAGATCGTGTGGGGAAAGCGACCACATGTGGACGACGAGGGCGAGGTGGATCCTGGGGCGAGCTCTTCGGGGCAACCGAGGACCGAGCCGGCCCCCGATAGGGGCGCCGGGTCAGGAAAGGATGATGATGTGACCCTTCCTGACATTGGGAAACTGTCCGTGACGGAAAAGAAGAAGGACGACATGGACGTGGATCAGGAAGGCTCCAAGAAGGATTCCACCGGGACGAAGGAGCCCACGCCTCGGGGTACCGAGGCTGGGAAGACAGACCCGAGTGAGATTACCAACTTCAAAGGGGCTACCTTCGAGGAGTACCGGAAGACTGCCCCTGACTATGAGTACAGCGGGGAGGGAGATGATCGAAGGATCCTTCCCAAGAACACTCCGATAGACATGGAGAAGTCGTTGCCGGCCGAGGTAGCGCTCTTGATTCCGAGGGCAGTGGCCACGCAGAAGGAGGCTGAGGAAGCCGAGAGGGCCGCGATGGAGGCCATCCGCGGGGATTACAGGCTTCCGGATGTGGGTCAAGAAGACAGGGAGAAGGTCGACCCTTACACCGTGACGGACGAAGACTTGGCTGCGTCGGTAGACGCGTTGACTAGGAGGTTGAGCAACATGCCTGAGTGGTCGGGAAATTTGATCGACCCTGCGAAGTCTGCTGAGCTGGTCGCGGCGAGATGGGGCGGAAAGGCGAGTTATGACAAGCCTGAGGCTCCTCTGACTGAGGCTGGGATGAAAAGTGCGTCATTGGAGGATCGTGCCTACGCACTATCGCAGCTGAATCAGATGGTGAACTTTCACAAGAAGCACCTATGCTCTGGGCGAGGAGCGCCTCTGGTGAGTGCAGCTGCCCCTAGTGGACCCTTTGCTCCTGACCAGCTGGATGATAGCAGGAAGTTCAGGCCTAGTGGGGCGGCGAGCAAGATGACCTACAATCTTGTGATACTGGATGGGAAGGAGGATTATCTTGCCGATAGGCGAGAGATCAATCCAGAGTTAAGGGAAACGGGAGTTATCCCTGATGAGGCCGTCACTTGCCAGATTGTGGTTCCCTCGAAGACGAGGTTGGGCGAATACCTCCCGAACTACGAGGAGACCGTGGGCACCGTTGCAGGACGGGAGGCGGCGAAGGAGTTGATGAGACTGCTCTCGTGCGATTTCGACGGTTTGGTCATCAATTCAAAGAGAGTCTCGGAGTTATTCGAGGAACGTGTGCTGAAGGAGACCGGACGTGAGGCTGGAAACTGGGTGAAAAGTGACCAGGCCATCTGGTTCCTGAAGGAGATTTCGGGCATGGAGAACGCTGAGATGTCTTGGAAGTTCTTCATTCCGACGCTCAAAGCTTTCCCGATAGGGCAAGTGGAGGCGATGCTCATGGTCATGTACGACGGGGATGGCGTTCTCCTCAAGGAGAGCACCAGGTTGGTTGCCGTTAGGCACACGCGGATCGGACGCGACTTGAGTTACAGTGCCGTTAGGCACAGGTATACTCAGGAAGATGCACCTGGCGGGTCTCTGATGTATGAGATGCATTGGAATGAACTCCCCATGGTGGGATACGCCATCATGAAGTTCTCGGACTTTCGGAAGGCGGTTCAGCTCCAAAGGGTGAGGCGAAACGGAAAGGCCATGATCGAGATATTGATCACGAGGCCCGATGTGTACGAGACCATTGGGGATGGTAGGCAGGATGAGGGCCTGATCCCACTTGTGGGAGCCATGGCGCCGGATGCCGAGGTATCGCCTTCGTGGTATGTCAGGGACAGGCTGCGGAACTACTCCGGTAGGTACGTGGTGGTAATGGTGGATCTTCGGGTGCACTGGTCCTTGGTTGGACCCGTGTTTTTGACAAGAAGGAAGACTCTGGCCGTTAGGAACGAGATCCACATGGGAGCTTGGAAGGCGGCCTACATGTACGATGATTACACGATAGTGTACCATCGGGCATGGGACTATGGTGACTTCACCCCCGTTAGGGGAGAACACAGGCGATCGCGGGAAGAGGTCAGATTGAATGTGACTACCACGTTCTGTTTGAGGTGCGCGGAGATGACGCCAAATGGGATGCATTTGTGTCCTGGATGCGCGCTCCCGGTCTTCTACCCGAACTTTATCCCCAACGCGGAGGAGAAAGACTTCGAGAGATGCCGCATTGTACCGGAGTGGGTGAGGACCATGGGACAGTTCAAGCCCAAGAGGATCCCCACCGAAGTGGTCGGAGTCATCAAGAGGAACTTGATTTCCTATTCAATGGCATCTGATCTGAGGATGACGGTGCAGAGCGGAATCAGACTGCCCCCTTATCTTGGTGAGGACAAGGGAGGAGTCGATGCGGCGTGGGATGAGCTGGCGAAGGTGCTCTTCCAATTCTCCTATGTGTCGGGGATTTCGGCATCGGATGCGTTCGTGGAGAAGTGGGTGGCGAAGCACCTGATTCTGACCAACCAAGTCGATAGATTTGAGTCGGTCACGGAGTACTTCCGGGCTAACCCAAGGCACGCTGCTCAATGGGGTAGGCGTATGACGACTTCCGTTAGGAAGTTCGCTCGCCATGACACGTACTTGTCCTTCTATATTCCGATGGCATACGTGATTGGCTCCGCGGCTGGTCATCTGACCCCATTGTATCCGACCCATCGAAAGGACGTGGACATCCTGGAAAGTCATGCGTTGATTTCGCAGCTCAGGCAGTACATGGTATCGGAGACAGGGTACGATGAGAAGAAG